AGTAAAGAAAATATCCCTCCAGTCCTTCACTTTATTGGAGAGACCACATGTTATCGATATTTAAAGTCAACCAATCCTGCAAATTCGAATTCATAAAGGAATTGGGTATCGAACCTGTAAACCAAGATTGCCAAATCTTCCTAGCATGTCTACAATCACGAAGAACATGAATAATAGTTTCCTCATGATTTGGACAACTGGGACAGACATTTGAACCTCCGCTCCACTTACTGGTTCTGCTGCGCACTGAAAGTTTAGAAGGCAAAGTCATCCACATAAACACTTTTACTCGTTCTGGTCCATTCCACGACCAAACTTTTTTCCATAAGCTAGTGTGAACATCTATTGGGAAGTTCATAAGATTACAGTAAGCGACCTTAACCAAAGAAGTTGAGTAATGATTATTGATCCAAACTAATCTATCCTCCCCATTCCTTGGAATAAGCCTGAGATGATTTGTTACTGCATCAGCCAAATCTGACTCCAGAAATTGATGAACAACTTCAAGACGGAAACCATCATCCACCATGTAATCTGCAATTGATTTCTGACTCTCCTCCCACGGCACCTGATTGCTCGACAACTGCTGCAAAATTTCCTCCCATCCCAACCAGTTATCAGTCCAAAGCTTTACTTCAGAACCATCTGCTATTTCCCATCTAAGACCAGCAAGGAAATTACTCCAACATTTAGCAAGATCACGCCAAAGTTTAGAGTCATATGATTTTGCCTTTATACCTCTCCTTAAGTCTTGACCTCTACCATACTTGGCTACTAAAATCTTAACCCATAAATCTTCTTTCTTCGTTAACACCTTCCACGCCAGTTTATGAATATAAGCTTCATTTTGTAGTCGAAGGTTAATTATTCCCAAATCACCTCTATCTTTGGGTTTATACATTTGATCCCAAGCTACTAAATGAGCCCGCCTTCTGCTATCATGATCTCCCCAAATGAAAGCCCTTTGTATCTGCTCAATTTCATCACAAAACGTTACTGGTAGAAGACCATTCTGCATATGGAAAGAAGGGATTGCAGCAATGACCGATTTCACCAAAGTAACTCGACCAGCAAAAGAAAGGCAATGGCTTTTCCAACCATCCAGTTTTGAACGTATCCTATCCTTGATAGCTCCATAGTCTGCTTTAATATATCTCCCTTGTTTAACAATAGAGCCTAAATATCTGCCAATACTAGAAGTGCGCTTAAAGCCCATTCTGTTGACAATCCTTGCAGCAACTTGAGTATCAGTATTCGGGGAAAAATAAATCAAAGATTTATTTGCACTAACACTTTGCCCCGACATCTCACAAAAGAGATTAATACAATCCATAATCACCTTAGCTTGCTCCATATCTGCTTCCGCAAAGAGAATGATATCATCTGCAAATAAAAGGTGGGATACACTCGGCCCTCTTCTGCAGACTCTAATATGCTTCCACGAACCCATAGTCACTTTTTCAGCGATCAAGTGGGAAAGCTTCTCAACACACAACACAAAAATATAAGGAGAGATTGGATCCCCTTGACGAATTCCTCTCTGAGGAACTATGCAATCCGAAGCCACACCATTTATCAAGACCCTCGAACTATTAGAAGTTATAGAAGCCATTATAACACCAATCATCCAATCAGGAAACTGAACTTCAATAAGCACTTTATAGATAAAACTCCAACTGAGTTTATCATAAGCTTTTTCAAGGTCCAGTTTGATTGCCATTGTACCTTTCTTTCCTTTTACTCTCCCCATAGAATGAACCAGCTCCTTTGCTACTATAATATTATCCTGAAGCTGACGATTTGGCACGAAGCTAGCTTGGTAAGGAGAAACTAAATTCTCCATTGTAAGCTTAAGCCTATCCACAATGATCTTGCTCATACCCTTATAAATGACATTACACAAAGAAATAGGCCTGAATTGAGAAACATACATTGGCTTAGGAACTTTGGGGATCAAAGAGATCACAGTACCGTTGACTTCCTTAATGCTGGAAGGATTTTCTGTATAATACTTGATATCTAAAATAATTTGAATGGGCTTTTATAACTAAAAAATTGCTTTTTTTTAAATAAATGTTCTTTTGAAAATTTTTAGATGTTTGGATAACTTTTAAAAAAAGCAAAATTTAAAATAAAAGTTAAAATGTTGCTTTTTCTTTTTATAACCAATAATTGGTTTCTTTTGAAAAAAACAATAATTAAAAGATAATATATTTTTTTTTTTGGAAAAAAGATAATATAAATTTTAAAATACAATTTTAATCTTATCTTATCATATCTATTTTATTTCTCCTTATCCTATGATCATACTATTTTATCTCTTTTTTATTGTAATTTTATATATAAAAAGTACTTTTTTTTAATTTAACATCCAAATAATTTTTTTATGTAAAATGATTTTCAGATCATACATTCAAACGTAAAATAATTTTATTTTTAAAAAAAATTATTTAAAAAAAAATAATATATAAAAAATTATTTTTTTAAAATCTCATCCAAAATGAATCTTAATTTAAATTATTTTCATTTTTCACACCTACGTGTAAAACAATGTTGCAGTTGCTGTCGTACAATGAATTAGAAACAGTTGAAAGCTTGAACTCTGAGCGGGAGGTGGGTCCCACAGGGGACAATATCTAACTTTATTTTAGAGACGAGGGGACAATTTTAATTCTTCAGGGTTCTTCTGGCTTCTTTGTATTTATAAGTTTTGGTCGAGCGCAGCTCGATGAGCCCCATCCCCCTTTAAATTTAATTGTTCTTTTAATATAAAATGTTATTTAATTGCATATTAGCATCTCAAGGATTCCAACTCGTCAATATAATAACATTTATATAGTTCGAATCTTCATCATGTGACTCAGTTGCTAATTTTAGAAGACAACACTCCGTAGTGTGTAAGGCAAGTAGAACCTGTAGCATCTTAGCGGTTATCCTTTTTTAATGTAGCATTGTTATACGAGGAATGTTATATTTTATAAAAATATTATTTATAAATTTTTATAAACTTAACTATCTATTAAAGGTAAATGTAGTATATCAAAAATCAACTCATGTACTATTTTTAGTATATAATCAAATTTATAAGAGTTTGTAAATATAATTTGTTCTTTGTCGAAAAGTGTTTTTTCATAACGTGACCATTCAATTTGCATGCAAAGTTTTTTAAAAAAGTGCAAGCCTCAGCATTAGTTGAGTCATAAAATGATAAAATAATTATCATACAACATAAGAAATATATATATATGAAAAAAAATATAAGCGATCAATATAAGTGATCTAACGGTGAGATTGATTGGTGGTAACACAACTTAGTTGTTACAATATCCTTCCCTTATATATATATATATATATATATAGATAGGATACTTTGACACCGGTGTCAAATTTTAAATTTGACACCTCATCTAAAAGCCGTTAGATAAAAAAAGATCAATGGTGTCACATGCTTACAAATCAGAGTCATTGATCTTTTTTGATCTCACGACTCTCAGATGAGGTGTCAAATTTGAAATTTGACGCTAGTGTCAAAGGATTCTCACTCATATATATATATATATATATATATATATATATATATATATATATATAATCTCTTTTTTTATTACATAATGTTTTTAAATTATATGTAAAAATTGTAATAAAATCATTATTATCTATGTAAAACCTTTTAAACTTAATTTTTTGTTTTTTTCCCTTTCTAATAATATGAATTAACATGATAAAAAAAATACAAAGCTTTGGTCCTGGTCATTTGCTTAGACTTTGGTAAAAAACAAGTAGAAATAGTGATTTTAATACAGCAGGTATTTTCGGGAAATGGCTTTCTTTAATTATGTAAAATGCATTTTTTAAATGCCAAGAGAATAAGAATAGACCTTATGTGTGTTCAGAAAAGTGCGATGATAAGACCAGAACTGATATATTTCCTATTTTCATTTTGTTTGTGATTTGAAAAAAAAAAAAAAAAACTGGTGTTTGATTGTATTCTATTTTTTTTCCTTAAGATTATTTTGTAAAATAATTAATGAAATAGGTGTTTTCTATTTTTATTTTAAGTTAAAAGAAAAATAACACAAAAACAATATAAAATTTCTTTTATGATAGGAAAAAATAAAAATTTTGAAAAAAAAAAGTTTCCGTATTGCTTTATGTCAAAATTTGTTTTTATCCAAACTAATTTAATTCAGTTCGACTCATTTCGGAAATACCTTTTCTAATATTATTATCTCCATTTTCGACTGGTTAAGAAAAATAAACTCCTAGCCATTTGAAGCCATAATCATCTGTTCGGTTCAAATTAATAAGTACAGTTAGTAACAAATTAGTAATAAGATTAGCAAGGCCATAAGAACAGCCATTTCCGTTGCGAGAAGAAATGCAAGAACAGTATAGTGGCACATTAATCACGCATATAAAGATTCTCTTCAGAAAGGAATAATAAATTAACAACTAAACTTCTCCCTTCACCATCCCATCTACATTTGGTTTAACTACAAATGTCTTTGTACAATGACCTTCTTTCCCCAACCCTCACCCCATTTCAGTGAACCCCAGGGAAAAAGTTACAAAATTTCATAATGTGAGGGTAATCCACCCAATAAATAAAGAAATAAGCTTTCTAAGTAACTCCACGAGAAGGTGATGCACAAGAATTCTCCTCCTTCTTATAGTAATATCAGTGAAATGTCACAATTATGTTTCGCTTACCTCACCTTCCCTACACATACCCACATCTACAACCATGGTTCCTTTATCCTTGGACTTCATCACTCGGCAACAGTTTCTCCTTGGAGCCTGCCAAATATATATCAAAACATACCCAAATCAATTACCAAACAAAGGATGCCAGTGCAAACAAACCAGTACATTTGGCAAAGTTTTTGAAAGTTAAAACCTGAAATTAAAAACACTTAAAACAGGTTTCCAACCCTGACATGACCAGTTATATTCTAAGGTAGACTTGCTAATGACATCCTCACATGTTGGTAGTGTAATATTAACTTAAGGAGAATGTGACAAGAACTTACTCTATCCCATAAATGCGGATCTGACTTCTTATATACCTCCACTTTGTCAACAGAAGAAGGATCAGCCATCTTCCACCGGCATTCCGGGTGAGGTACACGATGTCTTTCATATTCACTCACTATATGAGGCATTGCAGAATTGTATTTTGCCCTTGAGAAATAAAATACAAAAGGCTTCTGGCACGGGTTTCGGCTAACAGGACGTGTGTTGAATGCATATGCAGTGTAATCTGCTCTTCTATACCAATTCAAGAATGTTCTTGAAGGCATTTCCATTTCCCTGGGTGAAAACACACCGCGAAATATCTGAACAGCAAAACCCCATGAAACAGAAACGGTCCAGCCCTTGGATTTGTCATAGCAGATGGATTGCTGCATGAGCCCTGCTGAGTCAAGCTTCATTGGTATAGTAAGCCGTTGAAGGGCATCTACCCGAGTCACATTGGGGAAGATTGGCTCAACCACATCAAGGTGGTGCAGTGACACTAATGGGGTCACAGGATGAGATGCAAGAAGACCAAACAGGTTCCCATACACATCATACTGTTTCAATAAACCAGGGGCTGTCAGTATTGAAGTTAATACAATAGCATGCAGGACTACATTCCTTGTCTAAAGCAATTTTGTATGTATGTTATGAACAGTGGAAGCATTTAATAATTTGAAAATTTAGAAAGTATTTAATACACTCCTTTTTAAATAATTAATAAAGAGTGATAATTTTTATAGTCAATGCCTCTGCTGTTCAAAATACACTATGAAGTTGGGTACTTGCCTAATTGTCTCCACAATTATGGACCAGGAAAGTACTCAAACCTTAAATTGTTTTAAAAAATATAAAATAACAATGGTAGCATAAAGTCAAATTATAGAAACAAAAACGACAGAAGCACCAAGTTTTTCACCACCCACCCTCCAAAAAAGATAGTCTAAACATGCTTTTTATAGCTATGTACAATTAATAATTTCTAAAAGCATATTTTAGTCCTTTCAATGTTCATACCCTTACTTGTTTCCTATTAATTTTCTAAATTCAAGGAAGATTTAATAATCTAGTCACAACCGATTCTTCATATATAATTTAAGCTGTGCATAGATTCAGACTCAAATTCATACAATAATAATGCAAAAGGACCACTCGATCTCTTCACGTCACCGGAATTACAATATTGCTAGGCATTGCAAGAAAAAAAAAATCCAGGAATAAACAAGCTGAGTAGAAGAGAGTGAGAAGAGGTCCCAAATCCCAATTACAAGCATGGGTCAGCAAGCTCCGGGTGCCAAAAATGTCATAAGACTCTCAGGCGTGTTAGATATATAATATAAAATCTATTCTAGAGTGAGCTGATGGGGTAGTTTCTTGCTTTCCATTTTTCATACAGGCTTTGATAGTTGGACGGCAAGACATGAAGCCTAAATCACCACTAAAACCCATTGATTTTCTTAATTCTTGCACTACAGTGGTCCCAGCCGTAATCGTAAAGTGCACCACATTTCCGTAAAATAAAAAATATATTTTATTTAATATTTTCAATAAAAATATGTGAGTAATATATACATGTAAGCATACTTTTAAAAAAAATTAAAAAATTGTCCCCCGAATGAATATCTCCAATAAAAACAAATATATTATCGGGAGTCGTAAAACACCCATAAGCCAACGCATATACTTAAATTCCACTAGTCTGAAATTGAATGCGGTCGTCGAAATCGGCCAAGAAAGCAGAAAGAAAAATTAAATGCAACATGACACCGACACACTAACAGCAATTGGTTCTAATTTTGGGGCCAAAAATACCGGTTAGTTAAAACGGAAAGTTTCATCAATGCTATTTTGGTTATACGAAAGGTCTTATAACGAAAATTAAAATATCATTTTCGTTGGGGGCTAAAACTTGCTCGCCCCTACTTCCGAGAGCTTTTTCGGTACTACTCTCTACATGGATAAAAATTTGGGAGCTAGAGGGAAATAATAAAAATAAAAGTGTGGATTTAAATGTGATAACATTTTTCCTATTTAAAAAGAAAAAGAAAAAGAGAGTGTACAACTGTAATACAAAAAAAGTCCCTTTTTTCCAACAAGAACGCAGCTTGCATTTGAATTATTACGAAACAGTACAAAAACCTAAAAATAAGGCAAAGCAAAAATGCAGTCCCACCCACACACCAACCGAATCAAAATCAAAACAATGCCGACAAAACTGCTAAAATCCCATCCCATGGGGGTAAAAAAAACCAAACAAACAGAAACCACTCATGAATGATTAGACAGTGACAGTAAAACAGAGTCATTGCAGATAATTAATACGAATTAGAGAGAGAGAGAGGGACTGAGTTAATGACCTGGTGAAAACCGATTTCTTTAGTGAGTGGAACACCGAGTTCAGCCATACAAGCTTGCATCCGGTCATCGGAACCGTACAGTCCCGGGTACCTCTGTATGCAACGGTCCTGCATTTTGGAGAGAGCTTTTGCCAAAGGGTAACTGATGGCGAACCCTCCTCCGCCGTAGGCCATGCCGTAAGAGAAGAATATGTTCTGCAAATGACTCTCCGATAAACTCCCAATGTAATAGAACTGTTTGTGATCGTACTTCCTCAATATCCGTACTAGATTCTCCGTCACGAAAACGGTGTCGTCGTCGCCCATCACGAACCACCGCACCTCCTTCATCCCCAGCCTCAGCGTCTCCGACACGATCCGCGAGATCCTGATCGCCGACCGGTGACCCTGCCGGTTCGTGTACGCGAATTTGGAAGTGTCGCCGGAGATTCTCACCGGCGGGAGCCCGTCGTTCTGGGAGGTTTTCACCTTGTTGTCCATCCACACCACGCCCCGCATCTCCTTCGGCTTGTACCACAGCTTGATGTAGTTCTTCCTTTGCTCCCAGAGCTTCGAGGACGCGGCGATTCCGAACACCACGTGCCGGAGCTCCGTTCGGTCGTCGTCGTCATGGGTTTCACGAGATCCTCGGCGCAGAGCGGCGGAGGTTGTTGCGTTGGGGAATCTGAGCGAGGAAGCAGTGGCATTGATGTTGGGGATTGTTTTAGAGTAAGGGGAAGAGAATGTGTCGGTGGAGAATGGTCCATCGTTGCAAGCGCGTGATGTGGAGATGAGCTTGAGCGTGTAGACTACATATGTAACAGAAACGAAGAGGATGAGCAATACAAGAAGCTTCGGCAAGGTTCGAGACTGTGCGCCACCTCCTCCAGATTTAGGGCTCCTTGTTTGTTCCCAAATTAGCTTTTCTGCCTCTTTCATTTTCCAAGTTTCTATTTTTCTTACTATTCAATTTCTGGGTAATAGAAAAAAAAACAGACCCAAAAAAAAAAAAAGGAGGGGTTAACAAATGCAATTGCAGAGAGGAACAAGTCAGGGATTATAAGAACCAGATCTTCTAGAAGAAACACCCTCAAACATGAAGAGATCAATGTGGGAAACAAAAAAAAGACACAGATTAAGGGGAAGGCGTGGAATCAATTAAAAGAATGGGTTAGAAGAAGGATGGGTCTGCAGAGTGGTAAAGGGTAGAAGAGAAGAGAGATTGTAGAAGTGCTGCCAGTGCCAGTGCCAGCCCACACCCCTGGCAATTGAATTGATTGAATAGATAAATATTTATATAAATGTATATTTTTTGGGGGTAGAATTAATTGAGAATAGAGTTGTATTTGGCTGTAGCAATCGTGTATGAATGGTAGTTACATGGAGAGAGAGTGCGTGTAATTTTGGATGAGTGTCATCCTTAACCCAAGTATCAATTACGATTTCTAATGTTTGATGTTGGATATTTGTAGGGTCCACGTGTAAGAGAAGATACAGATCTCAGTCCGCAATTCAGCGAATCCAATGGAATATGGTTTACGAATGATAGGATTTGGGGGGGGTAACAAAACAAATGCTCTTTTTTATTTTTTTATTTTTTCGCAACTAATAGCTTCCATGGTTTTTGCTTCATTAGGTTTACAAATACTTTTTTATCCCTCGCAGAGTTACAGTCATGAGCAAGGTTTGTCGCAAAGATTTTTGCTTCTTGAAATTGGGGTATATTTTTTAAAATATCTGTATTTTTTTACGATTTTAATCATTAACTTTTTAATTAACAATTATAGTTTCATATTTTGTATGTAAAATACCAAAAGAATTGGATCAGATAATTTTTGTTTCCAAAACCAATTCAATCCACCGCGAACACCCCTAACTTACACACTCCAAATTGTAGTAATTAATAATTTTCTTTAAAAGCCCAAAGTATCTTTGAACTATTATAGGTTGATCTGCATTTGGCTTGGCACGTAGAGGGCGAACTCAAGTAGGCTGCATCTCATGTACCAACAACAACAACAAAAAAGTAGGCTGCACCGACCTGAATTCATGCGTTTACTTTCTCTCTTTTGAAAAAAATAAATAAATTAGTGGATTCATTAATATTTTAAAATACACAAAAATAAGCGGTTCCTATGGTTTTTAATTAAGTATGTTTGGATGCAAACAAAACAAAAAGCCACGGTACCATCTATTTTAAAAGTTAATGATCTTCAGTTTATAATTAATGGGAAAATATTTCTGCAATGCAGATAAGTTATCTGCATTTATTCCCAAAACGACGTCGTTTTGGGAATAAAATCTTAAAAATTATAAATATAAAGACTATTGTAACCCTGAAATAAATTAAAATTAGAAAAATACCATGATTTCCGTTCCAAAACGACGTCGTATTGACTTACTGCAGATAAGTTATCTGCAGAAAAAGCGAACCCTATAATTAATTACAAGATAATTTTTTATTAATAGTGATTTCAATATAAGTATTTATGAAAAATTATATTCAAATACAAAATAAATTTTACAAAATAAATAATTTTATTTGTTTATTTATTTATTAAAAAGGGTATTCAAAATTTTAAACGAGTCCAAAGCCGCTGTTTCTGATCTTTTAAATTCCACTTAGGTCTTTGCTAGAATTTCCTTTTGTAATTAAATTTCCCCACCCAGCACTCATACCAAACAAAATGATGGTTGTCTCCTAAACCTAACTTAGCCTAATACAATAATGAAAAATATTTGTTATTTTAAAGAAGATAAGTTTGTGTCATTTTAAATAAAATTATTATATTTTTGTAGTTTTTTACCTTATCTCTCCTCCTAATTTTGTGAAAGAAATAAAAAAATATTAAACATGCATCAAAATACAATAATTTTACTTAAAATGACACAAACTTATATCCATTAAAATAACAATAATTTTTCCCAAAATAAGTAATGAGTGTTCGTACTCTATTTCATTTGATTATTGAATCATTGTGTCTTTAATGAGCCTCATCCTCTCATGTTTGGTTGCCACTTGCCACCAAACCGGTCCCTTGCCTCACAAGTGAAGCGTCACGATGTTGGCCCATTCCAAACCAATTTTTGGGCCCAATGGGAAACAGGCTCACACTACAAATTAATTCGTGCACGCATATCCAGCCCAAAGAGATCTGGGCTTGCGGCATCATCCGTAGTAGGAAACGCTTCACTTCATAATCCAACCCCCACAGCACCAACCCAATCCAGAAGCAGAAAAGTGATGACTCACAGGCTGAATCCAATTCATAAAAAGGTATATGTTCCGTATACATAACCTATGTACACAACTGCACGCACCAAAAAGATAGCTACCAATAATGTAACATTCATTATACAATGCGAAACTTAAATGTATTATGCGGATATTTTGATGACGTTATTTGGAAAGGCAACATTGACAAGTTGATTTCTTGGTCACTTTGGAAGCCAGGAGGCCATGTATTGCTATTAAACTATAATAATTAATGTTTAACAAGTTACTGCACCAACTAATCCAAATTGATTACTTGCTACCAATGCAAAGAGATGTCTTGATCCTGCAGAATGTGGATAGGATTCTCTAGCTTTCACAAACAGTATATCCCCAATGAGAGAGCCCATTTCGATGTAAGTATTTCTATAATTTCATGCTCAACAATTATTATACAAGAACATGAATTGGAATATTGAAGATTCATATTTTTTATAATATATACTAAGAATAAATTAAGAGTACTAACATTTGTTCTTGATGCGGAATAATGTGTCACATCTACAACACCATCTTGATTGTTGAAAATTTTTATTAATCTTTTAGGCTTTCTTACATAGCTCAGTTAAACATATCTGTTAGAGATATCAGAGGAGATCAATTAAGGGATTTGATTGATTGTAATCATGTATCAAATACAACCTGTAAAGAGGGAAACAAATCATGTGATTTCTTTGATTGTGGGCAAAATAATTTGGCCCATTTATTGTATCACCTATTATTTATATTAAAGGAAACCTCGCTCCAGAAATATATCTGAGAGAGAAAGAAACATCATCAGTGTGGATGTAGGCCTAATGGCTGAACCACGATAAATCTTTGTGTTCTTTATTTTTAGGTAGAGACATGAAAAATTTGAATTCCTTTTCTGATTTCAAAACCAAGACTTAGCAGAGATTATTTTTCGTAACCGTAATAAAACCACTGTCATGAAGTGGTTCAGAAAATCTTTCAAAAATTACTCTTAAATTGCTGCTTAACCCTTCATTAAAATCACACAAATTTACATATTTATCAATATTCATAATTGAGTCATACACTCATACTTGAGTCATTTCTTACATTATACACTTACCACGGAATTTAACTTCGCTATGCTAAAGCATTGAACCTATTACTATAGGATCACTAATCGGTATCTTGATGGCGCTTAATTTGGGTAAATGAAAGAGAGCTTCGGAGAGCTCATTACGTGAGAGAGGAATTTAATTTTTGTGAACTGGGGCTGAGAATAATCTTTCAGAAACTTGCTAAAATGATGTTATCATGCGTTTGCAGAAAACTGCCTTATAAAAGTAGGAAAATGAGTTTGTCATGTTGTAGAAATGACACTGTTTCGTCCTGTAACAGGATTCTGTTCTAGATCCTGATTATTTTTATTTTTATTTTAAGTGTGGATCTCACATTTGATCTATGTGTGTAGGTAAAAAGCTGTTGTCATATGACATGACAAAAAGTGAATCCATAAAAATATTATGATAGCATTTATCTGGAAAAGGTTTTAAGCTTCATCACTAGTTTTTGAAATTTGTTGGGATAAAATGCATATTTTGAAACCTCCAAAGGCAAATTACAGATGAAATAAAGTTATAGGAGATAAGCTATATTTTGACCTGAATAAAATCAGTGTATTGTGTGCTTCAGTCTAAATTTATTGTCCTTATGAATCATTTCTTCTATTTTAATTTTACAATTCTCATTTTGTTCTCTAGCAAATAAGTAATCATGTAATTGATCATATGTTTTAATTATTATTATTTCTCCCTAAAATTCATTAATAGTGTTTATGATTTACGGCAATGGGAGTATGTGATTGGACATGATCATTTTACACTGTATAAGTTTTCCTCTTAATCTTAATAGTTGTTCCACATGTATCAAACGACTAATAAATTAAAGTAATTAAATACAAATAGGATAAATGTTAAGATTTGGTTTAAGACTTATTATACTTTTCTTGTTATATAATTAAGCTGATAATGTATTTGATACATCATTAAATTTTATTAAATAATCATTGTGCTCATTAATGCATAATAATACTTCATTAACTTAGTACACCCAAGTTTGATAAACTAACTTCACGTTTTCTGAGTACGGACATAATGGAATAGAATAATTTTTTTATGTTCTATTTTTTTCTCACCCTTTTTTTTTTTGGGTAAACAAAAAACAAAAAGATTTTTTTTTTCTCACCCTTTTTAATAGAGTTAAAATATACCATTTTTTATTTTATATATGTTCAATTTTGTTCTATTTGTAAATGCTCAAATATAAAACAAAACTTATATGCTATTTTTCTCTTTACCTTAACACGTCTACCAAACGTTACTCGAATTTATACAAGAATTTCTCTTTAATATATTTACTTGTTGCATCGTTTAACCTTGTCATTTAAACAATTCTATTTAATTCTCCCTTATCAAAGAAAATTAAGTGTACACGAGCGAATTGTGGCATATAATACAATAATTGAAGAAATTAATTATATATCAAGAGTGTAAAATATCTACCTACATACACACACGACAGGGTAGGGTTGTAAATTCTGATCATCGACCTTTTAACATAAGATGTATCCATTAAAGAGCATCACCCAACGCATTTTAAAAAACTCCAGTGCCTCCAACACTAAACTTAATGAAAAGACATCTTTACAATGGCAAAAAAAAAAAAGTGACACCGTTGAACCCATAAAAAAGCAACCAAATCTTATTGGCACGAGAGATGTTGTCTTCATGAAGTGAATAAGGGACCACAACCACGAAATTATCTTTGATATTTTTTGTAACTTTTGTTCTTCTTAACATCCAACCAAAACTATACAGCCAAATGATTTATTGTCCTTTTTTACAATATTCTTTTCTTCTCATCAATAAACTACAAATATCTTCAATCCTAAAAAACAAATTTATTTCCCACTTGAGCTATTAGCCTTTTCATCAATAAACTACAACTATTTAAAAAAGAATTTTATTTTCCACTTAATTGAGCTGTTAGCTCAGTGGTGAATGGAAGCCCCATCAACAAATCATGCATGTAGCTTTACAAAAAAAAGGTACTTGCAAAAAAGAAAAGAAAAAACAAAGAAAATAGTGTAAGAAAATTAAGGATAATAAAAGCCATACAAAAAAATCTGTATAAGCGTGCATCAATCAGTTGAAAATTCAAACTTCAAAATAGAAGAGGCATGAATACATGTTCAAAGTATATATTATATCTAACTAAGTGACGCAGTTTTATGATTGAAGCATTATGAAGTATATATCTATATACTAATTAAGCTAATTAAAATTAAAAAACTAATATTTCTACTTTAATTAATTTAACCGGTTTCTACTCACCGTATTAAATCGTTATATATATGCAATATGATCAATCCACATCTTCCATGATTCATTTCAGTCTGAAGCTTCATTCATTATTAATTCAACAAGCTAGCTTTGCCTTCAATAGCCACTTTGAATATATATATATATATATATATTCTTATCATCATGCCAAGTCATGAAGCAACTGTGTCCCCATCAGGTTCCTGTAAGGCATATTTTGTCCTTCACCATCCAAAAGAGAATACTGAACTGGTTGACAGTATTCAATATTCTGGTCCCTTTGGTAGAACATCGAGTTCACCCCGCTTTGATCACCGTGCTGTTGTAACCCTAGCGTCAATGACACCCCACTGCCACCGTGGAAACTCTGATTGGCATCATGATCACTGCCAGTGTAAGAAACCATGCCAGAGGAGTGGTGCATATAAGATGAAAAATCAAGCTCCACCGACCCAAATGTTTCCGTGGCTCGCCCTAAACATTGTTCCTCATGAGGACTCATGTTTTGGATCGTTTTAATGCTCTTTGGGTCGTTTTTACGATCTTGCTGGTTATTGATCATGGACGACACACACTCCGAGTCAATTCGAAGGAGTCTAGCTTTTGTTGGCTTGTGATCCTCATCATGTCGTTTTGAAGGAGATGGGTTTTGAACATTACAGCTAATATCCTCTTCAGAGTTGATGCCTCCCTCTGAGGATGCCATGTTGTTGTTTTCATGCTCCTTGGCTTCTTCCAAGTACATTTCCTCCACCATTGGCTTCCATAGCCTCACCCTTGCATTAATAAACCAATTTGAAACCTGCTTTCATTTGAAACACATACATGTCATGTCACCAAACGGGATATTCAACTTCCAAATTGCGTGCATATAATAACAACAATTAATATATCTACAAGACTTGGTCTTCAGAATGATATTTTTTAGTTGTAATTCAGATGAAAATTTTCGGAGACTAAATTCTAAGGCCTATGCAAATTAATTGATGGGAAATGGAAAGAGTATGTTAAATTAATTAATTAAGGAAGGTATCAACGTGCCTGGCTTCTAGAGAGACCAGTTTGGCGGGCTAAAATATGTTTATCAACATCGCTTGGGTACCTGCAAAAGTTTTCATTGAAAAATTAATTAAGAATATAATAACCTTGAATGGCACGTAGGAGTTACTAATTAAATAATGGTTATAGATAAGTAATGCAGTGGAGAATGGGCCCTACGGAGAATAATTAAACCCAAAAAAAAAAAAGTAGCAGTTGAGGGAGAGAAGCAAATGAAAGTATTTTTAAATATCCAAAAAATAATAAAAGAAGAAGAAATGATTGTAAATAATATGACAAAAGACCAAAAGATGGAATCCGAATGGCGATGCACAGAAACCACCAAAATCTGTTGCTTAGTTTTTCAAGCATAAATGATTGAGAATCTACGTATGAAAAACTTGTTGTATCATCAACTGACAAACATTATTCTCATATTTTTATTTTTATTTTTTCTTTGGAGAGAGCATTGATTCTTTAGCAAAATATATTTTGTTGCTTACTTATATTGGAACTCCACTATAGCTAGCTAGCTATCAAATAGAGAAGAAGAGGATAAAAGATAAAGCAATTACGGATGGAGAAAGTGCTCGAAAAGCCAAGACCGAAGAACTGAGACGGATCGTTCGGGAAGGCCACGTTGGGGTCTCCATGGATGAGTTTCCATCATGTTGATTTGTTGGAAGGTCCTTTGTTGTCTCAGTGTTTGATCAATGATTCTAAGCCTAGGTGTTTCACCCCTTGTCGTGCCTGCTACAACTGTGTCTTTCTCTCCCATGGCTTTCCTTGTTCCCTCAATCTGATCCAAAATCCCATCCTTCAAACATCTGAAATGTCTTGACATGGCTTTCAAAGCCAACGCCGAGTAAACTGTGGCGGCTCCATTGCCAGTCACTGCTTCAAAGGAGGAAACCACAGCCTTCATTTGATTGCAGTAGTGACTGTATCTTCTTTCAACCTTGAGATGAAGAAAAGTAGGGAAATAAAAAGTGAAAGAAAAGTAATATATATAAATTTCACTTTGAAAGTTACAGCCACCATATATTGGATTGATTAGTCTGTACCAATTTTTTTTTAAAAAAAGTTGAAATAAAGTTGCTAAGAAAAGGAAAAGGCAAACAACACTAGGGGTTTGGTTTCGGTTGTGAAGATAAATAAATAAAAAAAGTCGCGATTGTCACGATGCTGGCATTTATGACAAGACCGGCACTCGCTGCTTAATTAGTTCATGAATCAAAGGCAAAAGACCCCAATCTCATCAACCACACCAACGAAAAGTTAAGAACCTCAAGTGTGACGGGTTCACTTGAAGTAAAGGCATAGTTTTTACATACACCTTTTCCTTATTATGTGGAACAATCGATAAAAAAATATATAATATATTCTTAAATGAAGCGAAATAAGATTTGAAACATATATACCTCTTCCAGCATCGAAAGCAGCTTTGTCTTTCTCTTCTGCAATTCCACGAACTCAAGAGAGCTAAGAGAGTGCTTCTTAGTGTTATCCTCTTCCAACTGCTTGTTCTTTTGAGACTTTTGCTTTTGTACATCATTTTGCTTTGTCCCTAGACTACAAAACTCGTTCAGAAGGTCCTGTGCAGGTACCAAGAACTTGGAGTTCTTGAGCAGGAAATGTCCTTGATAAACATTTGCAGCTTTAGCACTAAAACACCCATCATCTTGCAACATTTGTTGATGTTGAGAATTGGTTGATTTTCCGAAGAAGAACCCATTTCTAGAAGTTGAAGAAACAAAATCAGGTTGGTGCTGATGATGACTAGTTTGTCTTAGCTCAAAAGATTGCAACCCAATACCCGAAGGGTTGGTTGAACTAAGAGAAAGTGAAAGACCTTGACTTGGCCTTTCATTAGCTTCACAAGGGAACACACACCTTAAAGATGAATCGTCAACTAGTAATCTGTTATTCTCATGCCACGGGGAAGAATCATGAGCACCGATGATTAGATTGTCGCTACTTGTTTCAGAAATCCCTGATGTGAAATCTTGTTTATTATACTCAAGCTGATGATAGAAGTTGCTAGAAGACTCGTTCATGGTTTTGGAAGAGGAAGGACCCGCGTGTTGACCAGGTTTGCCTAAGAAACTTTTCCACATGACGGAGTTGGTGTCACTCTGCTGCTGAAGATTCTTGGAAAACCCTATCATCTCCATGCCGGTTGTGAGGTTGAACATCTCCGGGTCGGACACAAAGCCTTGGATATGGTTCACCAAATGGGTTTGATGAATCGTTTGGTTACCGGATGACAAATCCGAATAGCAGAATCCATTTGATGAACCCATGTCCCTTTGATTTGTCTAGCTTCACAAAATTAAGCTTTCGGTTTCTTAAGTTGCAAGGGATGTGTTTTCATCAGGATTGAGTCCACCGCAAATAGAACTCAGAAACTCTCCTCTATAAAACGAAATTGAAGAATTGAAGAATATTTATGTATATATATATATGATTTATGAGTATATAGTTTTCATGTTTCTAATTAAAAGAGTGCGTGGAAGATATTACCTTAATGGAAGATAAGTGGAATAAGCAGGTAGCTGGGTATTGGAATCAAATTAGAGGTGAAGGTGGGTGATGTTGATGGTGTTGGATGATGATGATGGTGAATATATAGGAGGGGAAGTGCGAGCTCCTTTTTCTGAGTGTTGTGCTCTTAACTATAAGCAAACATGAGGATACCATGAAAACCAACCTAGGAACAAGGATGAGATATTCTTCTTCAGAAATAGAAGATCAGATAGGGGTGATGATCCCCTCCAAGCTATGATCATCATTTGATATATATGCCTGCCCCCACCCCACTCTCCCTCTATCTCTAAATAGAAATGAGTCAATGCACCAATATGTATAAATACAACCAAAATAGTTTTCCTTCAACCAAGGAAATTTCCTCAACTATTTCTTACCAGGTTTTAAAATATTCCTACAATCATAAACAATAAATAAGTAAAAGTCTCTATGCTGAATTAAATACAAATAATTCATTATATCATTTAATGTTCTACTTTTGCTGGAAAATTTTTTTTTTGCTGCCAGAATTACATAAAATTAAAGGGTTCGCTTTTTCTGCAGTTACTGCAGTTAAGTTATCTGCAGTAAGCCTAATACGACGTCATTTTGGGACAGAAATCATGGTGTTTTTGTAATTTTAATTTATTTCAGGGTTATTATAGTCTTTATAATTTTAATTATTTAATTTTTCAATCCCAAAACGACGTCGTTTTGAGAGTAAATGCAGATAACTTATCCACGATAACGGTAAAAATATTATTTTGAAAACTAAATGGGTTCAACTAATCTTTTTTTTTTTTCTCTTCTGTTTATTGTAGGACTCATTAACTTTTATATGAGTGTGACGAAATTTTTTTTTACAACAAAAGCAAAAATATATTTCCCATCACATTTATATTAGGATACAAATTATGACTTTATGAGTGTTATTTTAACGTACAATTATTGTAATAAAAATGATATTATTATTTAATCATGCATGTACTATTTTATCAATTAATGAATTTGAAAATTTATGTATTATTAAGTTCATTAAATAATATATAAAATAAACTTTCTTATATCAACTAAGGTGGTGTATTGGATTAGGATTTTAAAAGATTTTTTTGAGATAAAAAACTTATAGGTTTTAAAAGACTATTTAAAATTGGAGGGACTTTAAAGACTTTTTTCACAATCAAGATTTCATATGATTGAATTCTAAAGGATTTTAATAGAATTTATAATATTTGAAAGGATAATATGGATTTATAAGATTTTGAAAAAACATGAATTTTTAACAAACATCCAAGATTACAAGAGTTAATAAAAAAAATAACAAAGAAATGCAATGATATTAATAAAAAAAGTAAAACCTAATATAATTTTTTCAATCACTAAAATATAATATAATTTTAACAAACATTTGAAATTAGTAAGCAACAACTCTTCACATATCTAAAGCTATACTAGTCCTTTGCACTTTATCATTTTCTCGTTCTTGCTCTTGATTTGGCCAATGAGTTGAAATTATCTTCTTCATTTGCTATAAGAGCTATGCATATATGATTATAAGACCCAATTTTTTTATTTATTAAATTTTTTAAATTTGCATATAAAATCTAAAGTTCATGATAAAATTTCGTTTGAAATTTTTTGCAATTAATCTTGGAAACCTTGGGATTTTTGGTCTACGTGATGAGAGTTTTATAACCATATATCATATACATGTTTTCATTGAGTATTTTATGAAAATTTCAAATCTAAATTTCTGTGTTTTATTAAATGAAAGTTTAAAAAATTTCTCAAATTTTTTTCAATCAATACATTGAAACCTTAAATTGCTTTGGAATTTTTGAAAAATAAGCTTTTAGTTATCTATTGACATAAAAATTGTTTGAAATCATTTCTTGTAACGAAGGAATTTCGTTCATGAATGTATTGTTCCTTTCTTTAAATTGATATTATTTTATTGATGAAAAACAAAAACCGGTTTGAGAGTTTTGGTTCACTGTTTTATTTTGTTTTTAATACAAAAATCACATATTTTTGTGCCAAAAAAAATCGCGTCCTAAAGCTTTAAAAATTATTTTTAAACTTCCAAAAACTCTAAAAAAGGCTCAAAAGTTGTCTTTGATATGGATTATATTATAATCTTGTTAGTTTATTGTTTCTGGGTTGTTTTGTGATAAAAATCGCTAAAAAAATATGCTATTTTTGAACTTTGTTGAAGCTCCCATAGCAGAACCAAGTTTTGAGCGAGTCAAATCGCCAAAGAAAAAAGAAGACACTGTAACAGAGAAATCTCAAAAAATCCTATTTATATTTCTCACTAAAAAGTCTCACGAAATTCACACCAATAGAAAATTCATTATAATCGTCAAATTTTTAAATACCACAAGATTATTATTTTTTTGTTAAAATCTTGATTGAATACCAACGTATTTGGACGGACTCTAAACTAATCTTTTAAAATTGTAATTGAATACCACTTGACTTTTTTTTAATCTTTTAAAATCTTAATTGAATACCAATGGATTTTTTTTGTCCAAAAATAATCCATTAAAATCCTTTAAAATCTCAATCCAATACACCCCACTAACAGTTTTTATAATTCTAAATATACTATATTATTTAGAATTTTAAATATACATTATTTTTCAATCATACTGTAAAGAACCAATTCAACCCAAAAGCTTAAGCTATTGGGTGAGGCTACATTAATGGTTTTATATATCCCAACACGCCCCCTCACACGAAAGGCCACTGGACTTGAAGGGTGGACAATGCACAGGCCCACCTACCTGTGCGAAAAAAAAAAATTCCACTTGAAAGAAAGTGGGAGACGGTGATGATCGAACCCGGGACACGAGACTCTGATACCTTGTAAAGAACCTTGGGATACACCACCTCAAAAGCTAGCTCAAAGGGTGGGAGTGCCCAATGCCTTATAAACTCTACATTAGTTGCACATACAACCAATGAGGGACTATACATCTCTCAGCACGCCCCGCCCCCTCACACAAGAGCCCATTGGGTTTGAAGAGTGGATGATGCAACAGGCCCAGCCTACTTGTGCTAAGAAATTCCACAAGAGAAAGTGGAGAGTGGTGAGGTTTAAACCCGGAACACGAGACTCTGATACCATGTAAAGAACATTGGGATATTATTTGCATATTGTTTTATTTTTTCAAAAATTCATAACATAAACTCATAAAGTAATGATCGTCCTTTGCCTGGTACATAAACTACGTGCCGCCACATTAGTTGTTTTCTGAAACATGATGATTTTTCACGATAATATATACAGATCAATTTTTTACAAATCTCATATATTTTGTTACGAAGTTAAAGTTATAAATTTTTACAAATTATATATGTATTATGGGTAATATATATTATTTAAATATATATTGTTCATAGTACATAGTATAATTTATAAGTGTTTGTAAATATAATCTATCTCTTTATTATAATTAATTTTTGTTTGTTTTATTTTTTACTTTATTTCTCTTTCCATTAATTCACATGTTGTATGTGAAGTACACAGAAAGTATTTTGCAAAGAACATTTCTGTTAACAAAGTCTCCTCTTACCACCCCTAAGACCATAACAACAATAATGCTACCATCATTAAAGTTGTAGATTCGGGCCCAAACCAAACGACCATGAATTGTTTTATTTATTTGCAATCGAAATTTACTTGAATTAAAATTAAAAAAAAAATGGGGATGAGAATAAAAAGATCCTTATAGGGGAACGAATCCCCAGACTGAGGTCATTCCTAAGTAGAGTGTTTGACAGGCTTTTAAGATGGTTTTCAGTGAGAAGGGTGGGTCCTCGTCCTGCCACTCTCTGTTGTTTTTCTGAACCACAAGCTACCATACTTATTCTGTTACTTTTTGTTTACACAGACGAGATATAGAAAGAAGTTGCTCAACTATCCCTCCCACCCATAGATACGACGGGAGATAGGTTAATTATCAAATATTTCTCTATTATTTAACTTATTATAAACTTTCGTAAATTTATTAAATATCAGGCAATAAATATTTAATAACCTATCTTACTAAATAAATAAATAAAGATATGAAAACTGAATAATCCCATGTAGATGGATTAAGAAGAAAAAGAATAAATGCGCTTGTGTTTGAATAAAATGTTCCTAAATTAAGGGACCAAGCCTGGAAAAAAATTCAAAATGAATTTATCCGTTAAATATATAAATAATTGTGTATTTATTTAATAAATTAAAATTACAGTAATATTCTAAATTTATTCAAAGAAATATTAAATATATACTTTTATTTATACACATTTACACGTAAATACACTTAAAAGTTGAGAGGAGATATCCACATGAAGTGGTCCTATCTTCGCCCATCTAATTCTTGCTAATTGGTGTATTAAAGTACTCCACCCATCATTTTCTCTTACCATTTTGCATGGGAGGGGACCTCATCTTTTCTTTTTGTTTATTCATCATCCAAATATGCACCCTCCACGCGCATTTGCTTTTGCTATTACCCAACGGAAATGTCAATGAAGTAGTACTTAATAGCAATTAACCAATCATGATTATTAAGATTCGTATTACTTTTTTTCTTAATAGCATAAAAAGTTTAGTAAACATTATTACTAATTCCCATTTGCAGTGCACGTTGTTATATGTGGGTAATCCATCGGTCCTGTTGTAGGACAAAATTTTTCGGGCCCATGTTTTATTTTTTTTCTCTCTTTATATCATTTTCTCTCTTTCAAAATGTTGTGTCTACAGAAATTTTATTTTGTTTTACTGTAACAGGAGCGATGCATTTCCATATATATATACAAATGATCTCTCTTCATATATATATATATATATATATATATATATGAGAAAAATATTTCTCAAGCTGCTTGAGATAAATTTATCTCCGGCCACCTCAAAACTACGTCATTTTAATTATTTATTTCCTTATATGTATTGATTCACCTTTGAATGGTTATGATTCTTCTTTTCTCTCGCTTCCTTTATCACCATTGATTCATCTTTGTACGATTATGATTTAGCAGCCGGAGCCGGAGATAACTTTATCTCCGGCAGCTTAAGAAATGATAAGCCCTATATATATATATATATATATATATATATATATATATATATATATATATATATATATATATATATAGGAATTTATATTTCTGCAGCTACTGTACGTGCAGCAATCAAATACTTGCCATATATATACTTGAAAATATTAAATGTGGGGAATCATAACCATACAAAGGATGAAAACATTAAATGTGGAGAATCATATAT